CTCAGAAAAGCTATGCTATTTATACTCAGTGCTTTTGAAAAGGATTTTCAAGGCAGCTCTTTGGAGAACATGTGTACTTCCTTAACTTAAGGGACTGGAGGTCTAAGGTTGCAAGATGTCTGATTTTTGCCTGTTGTAGCCGCCTGCGGCCACGGATCAACTGGGTTCTCCTGAAAGGGGGGCTGGGAACGAAAGGCGGACGCAGGGCGAGAAGAGATGAAGCCAAGACAAAGTTCTCTGATCAAGGCTCAATGCTTTAATGTTCAGCTTCTCAATTTAAAGGGAAAGACCCCACCCGAATCCTTCCTTGTTTCAGACGGAGATGGGTGGGATAATCCTTTTTCGTTCATGGTCATGGCCTGAGTTATCTCTAGGCAAGCCCAGGGGCAGTTCTTCTTCTAAGTTCTGTGTATGGTAAACAAGGTCTCTCAGGCCTGCCCAAGATTGGGGGGGGGGGCACAGCCTGTGTGGCCCTGCATAGAACTCTGGGCAGGAGAGGGGTGGGAGTGGGGAGTCTGAACTGTTCCAGAGGGTAAGGATGCCAAGGCAAGATCTCATGGAGTCTGAGCCCCTTGTCAAGCCTTGTGAGGGTACTCAGCACCTTTATACCCTGCAAGCTTCTTCTGGCCTTATCTTCATTTAGCCCCCATGCTTTCTGATACATGCCTGCTCCCAGAAACACGTGTGAACTGCCTCAGATTTTACAGCAAGTTTAACAGCTCCCCTACCTACTGTGTGGGGTCAGGTGTGTGGGAAATGTAAAGGGTGAACCCCCAGGCCTCCCCTGTGGCCCCTACAGGTGATGGGTGGTTGGGAATAACAGTACCCTACCATAGTCTCAATGGTTCAGTCTTTGCTCAGTGAGAGGCAAGAGAGATGAGATGGTTTTAAATTTTCTGGAGCCCTCAGAACATCTGCAGTTAGTATAAAGACTATTTTGGGGACTATTACAAAGAATGGTTGTCATATTGTACATGGAGCCCTCCCACATAATGAAGCTGTCCTTACCATCTGTAGGCATACATTTTTTTGCAACCTATTTTTAATAAGGGTTCAACTTCTCTAGCCCACCACCCAGCAGGGGTAGTGGACAAGAAGAGTTATTAGGACGTGAGGGAAGTGGACCTGTTCAGCAATAGTTCTTTGGGGGTGAGCTCGATCTTCTCTCTCAACAGTTCAGTCCCGTGGTGAACATCCAGTGTGAGTCAGCAGCTGCTGTCTAGTCCTCTAGGCAGGCAACATCAGGCATGAACCAGGAGCTGTAGTTCAAAATCCTGAAGGAACTGTAGGGCTCGGCAACTGGCCTGAAGTAAGGCCACCAAAGCCTCACGAGCAGTTCTTAGGCAAGTGTCTTTCAATGGTAGCGTTATCACAGGTTGAGCTCAACAATACTGTGTAAGACAAACCAGTACATGCGTGTTGTTAGTGAAGGACAGCAAGGCGGAGCAAACCAAACCAATGCTCAGTACCTGTCTCCCACTGTCTGTGGGGTCACAGTTGTACTTCTTTATCATGGGTCCTTTCATGTATTTGCTATATCAAAACATCATTTCGCCTGTGTCTGCTTCAAGAAAACATTCTTTCACATGTCTGCTTTAACAAGACATCCTTTCACCTGTGTGGCCCAGCAAAGAATCATTTGACATAACTAACTTTCCAAAGAAACTAGAAATTTCCACTCCAACCATCCCTCCTTCTGCCTCAGGAAAATGAACCCCAGGTTAACTGGAATTTATTTTAGTTGGAAGCTTCCTGACCTGGGCCAGAGAGATGGCTCAGAGGGTAAGAGTGCTTACCACCAAGCCTGATTATCTGAGCTTGGTCGCAAGGACCCAAACGGTAGAAGGGCAGAACCAACTCTTACAAGTTGTCCTGTCACAGGTGCACTGCAGCACGCATAAATGTGGGCACACAAACACACACACACACACACACAGTTTTTTTTTTAAGCTTCCTGACATCCAGTGGGCTGTTCTGCAGTTCTCTACTCTTGACTGTTTGTACAAAGCTTTGCTTTCTTTTGCCTGTATATGAAGCTCTCCATGCAAGTCTGTCTGGCTTCAAGTCCCCAGATGGAGCCATCTGCAGAGATGGTTAAAGTACCTTTCTACAGCATCACTCCCTCCCTCCCTCCCTCCCCCTGCTGGAACCATAGACAACCAAACATTGTAGGAATGGGGAGAGATTTATGGTCCTGGCTTACCTCTGCCACCAGGGCTCAGATTTACCAGCTGAGTCACGCTTCCACGTTTTAGAGATGACTTCATCTTTGCCCAGGCTATCGGAATCAGGTTGCAGAGGATTCTAGAAGTACTTTTTAAAGTTGAGGGCAGCCATGTGCAAGAACACTGAACTGCTTGCTGGATATGTGAATTCGTACCCGGCTTTGGAACATAGGAATATGCCAGGAGGTGACTTCCTATCCTGAGGCCATGGCTTCCTGTCTCTTTGGAAATTCTCTTGTCATTTGTTCCAAATGAGTCTAGGGTGCCTAAACTCCCCCTCTCTGCCCTAGAAAACAATCTCTTTCATCATGACTCCTCTGTTGTGGACTAGCACACCCTGCTCTCTCTACAAACACCCGCCATACAACCATGGTTCATAGTTCATTTAGGGCCTGGAGAGGTGAGGGAAGTAAGCCAGGGTCTTGTAAAGAGATTTTTTTTTCAGATAAAGATAAAATTACTTTAGATTTACAGGCAGGGAGAATGTCACTCTTAATGCCTAAGGTCCCTCTCTTCCCCTGTTCCTATGACTCAGGACATTGTGTGAGGCAAGGACCCTGATGTGCCATTTCAGGTACGGTCAGCTTGCCTGTGATACCCGCCAGCAGGGCCATTCTGCTCCCCAGAGTTACTGTTCTCCTTTGTCTAGAGGTCTTCCAGGAACAGTCAGGGAGTGCTGGGGTCACTGGCACACACCACCCAGCCTGCCCAGCCAGCCAGTTCTGGTTTTCTCTCACAAGCTTAGGGTACGCTCTTTTATTGGTTCCCAACTAGCTAGAACATTAAAATATCAAGTCCCCCCCACTCCATCCAGAATACCCCAGTCACATTAGAACTTGATCTTCACATTATACATTTTTACCATAAAATAAATGCCACGCTACCTCCAACACTGTCATCAGATGACAGTTGATGAACGTAAGCCAGAGTTGATACTTAGTTTGACAGTTCACCAATGAGTAAAGATATATAACAATTTCCATATGAGAGAACTTTCTTCCATAAAACTTGGGTAATATCATAGGAGTGCACCTCCTGGTCTGGGAGAGGGTGAGAGGTATCCAGTTCAGTTAGCATTGATTCAGCTTAAGAACCTGCAGTGGAGACATCATGCCCAGGAGACACAGTGCCAAGAATCCTGCTCCTGCCCAGATCCCCAGGAGGGAGCCTTGCAGACAAACAACACTTATTTCCAGACCTCGTTTTGCTTCAGTCGTGCCCATTAGGAAGAGACTTTCCTATACGTTTACTTCCTCCCTTCCTAAAGATCTCCTGGAAGGAAGGCGTGTGCTTGGATCACTTCTCAGCACCCAGGACTCTCGCTGTGAATTCCAGCCATGTTCTCGAAGCTCTTTTGCTACGTATGCAGGATTGCTTATCAGCAAATGATCTGGGGCTTCTGTATCTTTGGGCCATTCTGTCTGTCCATTTTCATTGTGTTTCTGTCTTTCTGCTCAGTGTCCATCTTGGCTGCCAGCTAATTCTGATGCATCTGTTTTTCCGACAACATGAGAGAGGCCCATAGCTACAACTATAAAGACAGACATGTAGTGTGTAATAAGTGGAAGCTTTTGATTTTAGTGGCAGTTTTCATAATTGTGGTGAGCCCGTGTCTGTGGGTGGGCAGGCCTAAGGCCTCCGCTCAGATCTGTGCAGATGTGCTCATTTCTAGTTACAGAGCTTCTCTGCTGCTTTACTCTGCTCAAGCTGCCTTAACGGAACACCATAGATTAGGTGACTTAATCATTTCTTTTTTAAAAAAAACCCTGGAAACTGGGAGGCCCAAGGTCAAGACACTAGCAGGTTTGATAGCTGGTGGTGGCTGCTTCCTGGTCCATAGTCAGCTCTGTTTTACTGGCTCTTCATCTACGAGTGTGTCAAAGCAGCTGTCCAGTGTCCCACTCACAGGAACACAAGTTCCAATCACGAGGGCTCCAGCCTCATGACACAGTCACCTGTAAAAGACCTTGGAGATGAGAGTTTTAGCATGAATTTGGGGGTGGGGGAGACCCACCATTTAGAACATAGCTCTGGCTGTATTTGTTTTCTTTTCCTTTGTTCTTTAAAATTTAATTTCAAACTATTGTAAAATATGTATGTAAACAATATAGACCTTAAAAGTTTTATTTCCCACATTACTTTTCCTTTGTTGCGTACACATTATAGTTGTGGGGCTAGAGAGAACACAGGGGATGAAGCACTTGCTGGGAAAGCATAAGCAACCAGGGTTAGATCTCCAGCACCCACATAAAAGCCAGGAGTGGCGGCCTTCAACCATAATCCCAGCAGGATCCTGGTGGCTCACCGGCCAGCTAGTCTAGCTAAGATGGAAGTTTTCTTCACAAGCAGTGCAAGATCCTGTTTCAGAATATTATAGTAAAAATAAAGTGGAAAATGATAGAGAAGGATACCCCAGTGTTAGCCCCTGAGGCCCCTCTATTGAAGGCTTGGTCCCCAGCCTGTGCTACTATTGACCGGTCACAGAACCTCTAGGCAGTGATGTTGGGAACCCAGCTCCTTCCTGATTCTTCTCACTTTAGTTACCATGACATCCTCCATCACATCATTGCAGGCTCCCCTGGCCCCAGCAGAGCAGAAGCAACAGGGCCACTGAGTCACAGACCGACACCTCCGAGAGTATGAGCAAAACTTAACCTTCCTCACTTTAAGTTGCTTTAGCTCAGGATCGGGTATAACAAGAGGGCTGTATGTAGTCAAAGCTCTGGTTTTTAATTTCCTTTTCCTTTCCCATGCCTGGGCTGGTCACTGTCTTGCTTTTCTGGTTGTCATTTACTTGAAATGGTTTTTTTTTTTGTTTTATTAATCGGCGTGCTTAAGGGTTTAGAATGGTTGGGGTTCTTCTTCAGTGGTATATCAACCCAACCAGACTTTCTTTTGGTTTGTTTGTTTTGTTTTTCTGTTTTGTCTATTGGCGTGTGTATGTGTGTTATAGAAATATATAACAAGATTACAGTTAGAGTCTGTAAAACCTGGTGAGCTGTGAGGAGTGGCTGGTGCCTAAGCAGAGAAAATGCACTCTCAGTCAACACGACAATACCCTAATGTGCTCAGGTCTGGGGACAGTTTCTCCTTTGTCACCCCATTAATTTTGCTTTGTATAACACTAGGAACACTAAAATTTCTGAAAAATAAGGAAAGCAAGTTGCAGTATCCTTCTGAGACTTCAATAATTTCTGCTACCACAGGCAGGTTAATGGGTGCGGGAGAGTCCCTTGAACTGGAGTCTCTTGTCCAAGTGCTCATTTTCAAACATTTCATGTTTCACTGTCACTAACAGCATGCTTGCTCCATCTCTGCTCAGATCTTTGAGCTATTTTCAAAATTGTTGTTCTATGCTCTTCTCAGATGTGGCCGAGAAATTTTTTCAGGAAAGCATGACTTGTATCAAGGATTCTGAAGGAGCAGAAAGAGCCAAGTTCCTTTCGATTCAAGATGAATTTTGCAGTTTTCTGCAAAGCACTGGACAAAAAGAAGTAAGTGAGTTTAGATCACGATTGTCAAGCCATTTACCCGGCATGCCAAAGACTTCTTCACTCTGCCAGCATCTATTGAGCACCTACTGTATACAGGGCAGGCCTTAGCCTGGGAGGGACCCAGATAAATAAATGAAGGAGCCACTCTGGGCAGCAACCGGATACTTTCTCGTAGAAACAAAACTGTGAGGAAGTAAACGGCCCATCCAACTCTAAATAATCACGAAGGCTTGAAAATCACAAGAGCCTAGTGGGTAGAACCCTCCTCACGACAGCCTGTGGTCCTTCTGGCCGGGATGCCGTGCGGCAGTCAGCTCGGCCAGCTTTTTCTTCTCATTTTGAGTATTGAGTGGAATTTTCATATCTAATGAAAACTACACAGCGCATCAGTCTCAGCTCACCCTCTCCACTGCTGGTCTGTAAAGGCACGCCCGATGTCACTTAGGGAAGCAGGACTGGGCCCTTATACTTGTCAGAGCTTATATCCACCATAATAAAACTCCGAGGACCATGTTCCCTGTAAACTGTCACAGTTCCAAAAGGGGACAGTAGATGCCTCAGAGGTTTGGGGCGTGGGTGTGTGGGAGTGTGTGTAGCCTAGCAAATCTTGGAGATGAAGATGAAAAGTGTCATTTCTGTGTTGTCTGGAAACTCGTCCCCACAGTGCTTTCCTCATCCTTATTCTCTCTTCTCTCAACTAAGGAACATGGCTGCTCACCTGAGTCTGTCAGACCGGAGTAGATCCAGAGTCACTATAGCAAATAATATTTCACTGTTTTTCTAAAATACCCAACCAAAGATAGAGAAGGCCTTGCTAGGGGATCACTTAACAAAGATAGAGGACCCTGCTAAGGCCTCAGATTCCTACCCTAGACTCTATCTGGGTCCTATGGGACCTTTCAGGTTTCCTTAATACACACATGCTTTATTTAACGCTTCCCCTCCTGCCAGGCATCATCTCTTGTCAGGACCACTCCAGCATCTTCTCTTCGCCAGGCACTTCGTCCTGACTTGCACTTGTCTATTCAGACTTTAAGAGCACATCTGATCAGCGGACACTCACTTGGTACTCCAGTGAACCGTGATGCCCTCACAGCAAAGCTGACGCTTCTAGGCTCACTTTGTTCCTCGCCCTGCAACCATAGCTTTGTTTTGTTTTGTTTAAATCTTAAGGCATATGTAGGTTTATGTGCTCATGTGTGTGTGGGTGCAGATGCACACATGTGGAGGCCAGAGGACAAGCTTAGATGTCATCCTCAGGAAGGTCATCCTCATCCTTTAAGACAGGGGATCTCATTGGCCTGCAGCTCACCGAGTAGGCTAGACTGGCTAGACTGGCTGACCAGCAAGCCCCAGGGATCCTTTTCTCTTTGCCTCCCTAGTCCTGCAGTTACAAGTGCGTGCTACCACACTCAGCATTTGTATGTGGGTTCTAAGGATTGAACTCAGGCCCTCATGCTTGAAAGTACTTTTAAAGACTGAGCCATCTCCCCAGCTCATACTGAATTTTTCTAAAACATACACACACACGAATGCACACATGCACACATACACATAAACGCATACACACACACATGCATCTTTATAGCTGGTCTCTTTTTTCATTTCCTCCCAGAAGGCCCTCCCTGATTCATTCCAGGCTAGTTCAATCTGTCTTTCAGCTCTCTGCTTTCCCTCTCTTGCCTGTAGTGGACTCTTCTGAGTCTTCCTTACAGAATCCCATTGATGTAAAGTATTTATAGTGTAAATTTATTTGGATATTTAATGTTGTTCTTAGAACCAAGCTGAGTTCTGTGAGAGCAATTCTTGTTCATGATAGTTAATGGACAGATTTGGAATGGACGCTTGGTTGTCGGCCAGCTGACTCTAACTTCCACAGCTCATGTGCTCATGAGTTCCCATCCTTCCTGCCATAGTATAGAGGCAGCTGTAGCCGAGTGTCATTATTAATGTGTCTCATTGACTTCGCCCAAGTCAAACAAATAAGAAGTCTACATTAAAAAAGATGTGCCGTGCTCTCTCAGACTGCCCTTGGAAATTTTAGCAAACTGGCTCCTTCATTCCAGAATTATTTCCAGCCCTGATGGGTCCTTGCAAGGATACAAAAGCTGCCTCTTCCTTAGGTGCATGCCGCTAAGCCAGGGTACCTTGTAGAGAGAACACAGCATTACCTGGGGTTCAGCTCTCCGTCTCCTGCCAGGTACCCCCGCAGTGGCACAGACTGCCCAGCCATGCGTGATGGCCTCATGCTCCTCACCCTCACTTGCAGGCCTGTCACCGGGGAATATAGCAGGAATGTCTAACAAGAGCCGTTCCCAAGAAGTCTGACACAGATGAGCATGGGGTCACACCTAAACCACCCCAGATGTGTTTACTGCCTATCCGTAGGCTAGCTTACACCAATAGCAAGGTAGCCTCTAGAAGGGAATGATTTTTATAGTAAACAGTAAGTAAAGGCCATTCTGCTGCAAGCTGAGATATTCTGAGAGAAGATATAGAAATTTGTCCCTGACTGAAGCTAACCAAGCTGACCTTGTCTGTCTCTTCTTCCCTACATGCCTTGCCATCTCCTCAATAGTCCTACATAGGCTATGTGCTTCTCCTAGGCTCTCCTAGGCCCATGCCCTCTTCTCTTCTAAGTCTTAATAGTTCTTGGTTCTCTCTGTTAAGTTTTTCCCAACCGTTTTCCACTGTCAGCAGAACGTGCCTTACGATACACAACCATCTCTGGTTTCCCTACTCAGACTGAAACAGCAGTAAAGGCTTCATTCAGGGTAAGAATCTTGAGCTTTCTCGCTGTCACCGACTGGGTTCCCAAACTCCCACAGTCAAATCTCATGGAGATGCCACCTCACTCAAGTCTTGCTTCCGTCTAAGGCCTTGCACACAGGTGTTGGGAGTGGGTGGGCACAGGCAGGTTTGCTTGGAGACCCCAGTCCCTCATGTACTCTCATGGGCTGTACTTAGTGAGCTACACTATTCCACCTCAGAAATTGATTTCCTCTCATTGCCACATTTAACGAGCCAGCCCCAGTTCCTGACACATGTTCCTACCAACAAATGGAGCAGTGTTCCTCATTCAGATCTCTGCCTGTCTGTGGCACAGACACATGGCCCCAGGGCTATGCTATGGGAAGCCCTTTCTGCGGTCCTTAATTTGGCCATTGAACTCAGCATTAGTGTTGGGTAATCTTTATTATGTTGTTACCAGTAGTGGTGGGGAGGTTGTTTTGTTTTGTTTTTGTCTTTAGAGACTGTTTTCATGTAGCCAATCTGGGAAGAATCTCAGGACCTGTTGGAAGTTCACAGACTGTTAACAGGTCCTGAGATTCTTCCTAGATCTTCTACATGAAAACACTCTGTAAAGACAAGTTGGTATCTGCAAAACTTACTATCAGGAAAACCCTGTTTTCTGACCGACATATATTCCTCTATTCCACATTGGCATAAATAAATAGAACAAAGTAAACAAAACGGTTCATCATGCCTCGAGGACTGTTTACTTTTGGCTTCCTAAGCCTTCTCCGTGAGAACAGAAAGTCCGGAAGCATGACCCACAAGTGCAGTGTAGTTTCTCTTTTCTGAGAGCAACAGTGCAGAGGGAGCCGAGCATGCACCTAAAAAGCCCAGGGATGCAGATCCCAGCCCCACGATGATGAGCCCTGCGGGAACAAGGAAGGTCTCCACTGCTGCTTTGTACCTTGGCCTCCTACTGTGTCAGAAGATGAAGGCTCTCTATTTCTAAAGAACAAGTCAGATCACACATAAACTAGCTAGCCCCCCTGACACAGCCGCTCAATAGAACCAGTTCTAGCGAGAGCTGTCACAGTGTCCTTGCTGCTTTCTTCCTTCATATTTTGTTCTTTCTCTTCCCAAATACGGTGTTTACTGCCTCCTATCTAACCAGAGGACAGCGGCCCAGTTCTTGAGAACACTTTTCCTCTGAAATGTTAAATGTGTATCAGCTTCATGGCTTTTCTTGAGAGGGGTACAGATCTTTCTCAGTCCCTGAACTTTTGTAAAGGTTGCTTTCCTTTTTTAACAATTTATTTTTATTCTGTGTACATTGGTGTTTTGCCTGCATGTGAGTCTATGTGAAGGTGTCACATAGAACGGGAGTTATAGACAGTTGGGAGCTGCCATGTAAGGGCTGGGAACTGAACTCCAGTCCCCTAGAAGAGCAGCCAGTGCTTTTAACTGCTGAGCCACCTCTCCAGCCCCTTATTTCTGCCTTAGTATGTATATGAGTGTTTTGCTTTGTGTATATCTCTGTGTCACTTGCATGCCTGATGCTTGCAGCACCCAGACCAGGGCAAGGATCCCCTGGAACTGGAGTTAGAGAGGTTGTGAGCTACCATATGGGTGCTGAGCCTGGGTCCTCAGCAACAGGAGCAAGTACCCTTAAGCACTGAGAAATCCTTTGAACTTTTAACCACAACACATTCTGTCCTTTTCTCAGAGAGCAGCCACCATCCTGAGAGAGTCCCTGGAAGCCAAAATAGGAACATTTGGTGATTTCAGTCCTGAGGTGGCAGAAACGTACCGGGTCCTGGGCAGGGCAGACCTGGCACAGGGAAACAACAGTGGAGCATGCATGAAGCTAAAGAAGGTAAATAAAGTGGGGGCCAGCACCATGAAACATAGCCCCCCTCACTCTTCCTCACTCTCCCTCACTCCCCCTGCTAAGCTCTTCTCTCCACCACACTTTTAAATGAAAAGTTTTCTTGGCTTCTTAAGGTAAGATGGCATTACTTTTGCGGTAGATTTAAGCTTACATTTTGGGAGTCCAAAGAGTTCCTCTAAAATACATTTTAAAAGTGAATTATCAGTCATGTTTGATCATGCAAATATTTTAAATTTTTTCATAGTATGACTGACTAGTCCTTTCTTGCTACTGTGGTCTCCCTGCATGCCCAGTTCATGGGGGAAGCACAAAAGACTCTGCCTGTTTCCTTCTGCTCGTCCTTTGAACCTGGAGTTTATTTTATGTGGATGGTATAAAATCTCACGTTATCTTTTTCCCGAATCCCTCCCCTGTAGGAGAGACGTACTGAGTACAGTCTTGTCTAGGGCCATCTCACAAAGAGCCCAGCAGGGCTCCAGACACAGGTCTAGGACGGCGTACAGTAAATCCCCACATGCACTTGAGTTTGTTTCTGGATTTCTGTGCTGTCCCGCTAATCTCTGTTTATTTAGGTGTTAATATATCACATTTTCAGTCATAGGGATTCTGTGGAATGATTTAATGTGAGGTAGGACTAGACAGCTCTCAGGGCTTTCCCCTAAAACATCAGAGGTTCTGGATACTTGACTGTTTTTATTAAAGTAGTTATAAGTAAATTCTGGGAGAACTGACACCCTGGTGATGTTGAGTCTTTTTATCCATGGACAAGGGCTGTCATCCTGTCTGCTCACATCTGCTTTGTGTCTCTCATACACGCTGAAAAGCATTCCATCTCTAAGTTGTATGTATTTCTGTGAATTTTATTATTACTACTGTACGTGTGGATTCATTCATTGTTACATACCCTCACTTGTTTTTTGTGTATCTAAGGATTATTGGGATTTGTGCTTTTATAACCTCTCTAGCTTAGTTTTTTATTGTTTGGATTAATTTGAACATTGAGTCTCTCATTTTTCTAGATATATTATTATAGCATCTGCAAATAGACCTAATTTTACTTTATATTTTCAGTTCTATGACCAATTCCTTTATCCAGTTGCTTTGGCTCACATGTGCAGCACGATACTGACAAGCAGTGGAGGTGATAGGGTCCCTTGCCTTCTTCCCAATCTTACTAGAAACAACTCCAAAGATTCTTTATTTAAGAGGTGTTGACTTCAGGCCAGGTTCCTTTAATCCCTACACTCAGGGCACAGAGACAGACAGATCTCTGAGTCCAGCCTGATCTGCAGAACAAGTTTCAGGACAGCCAAGGCTATACAGAGAACCCATATCAAACAAACAAACAAAAAGGAGATGCTGACTTGAATACTAAGGCTTATATACTTTGATCATGCTAAGGTTTCTGGTTTCATTAGTCTTTTTAGAGTCAGAAATAGACGTTGATTTTCATCAGAGTTTTTGTTTTCAGCATTAGCAGGACGGTCACGCAGGCCTCTCTCAGTTCACGTCGTACGTATGTGTTGTTCTGTTATTGAGCCATCCCTGCGTTCCTGGAATAAATCCTCCCCTTGGTCACATTGGCTTGTTTTTCGCAAATGGTGTTTTTTGAGTCTAACTCTTACTATTATAATAGAATCCAGAGACAGAGGAATTTATAAAAATAGAAATTTCCTTCTCATACCTTTGGGCAATCAAAAGTCAAGAGGCTTACATCTGATGGTGGCCTGTTTGTTTTGTTTATTTGAAGGCAAAACACAGGAGGTGAAGATAGGAAGGGGAAGGAAAACTAAGCTGAACTGAATTCAGTCTTTTCAATAAACTTACTCCCAAGATAATAGCACTGACCCACTCATGAAAGTAGAACCTTCTCGAGACTTACGTCCCAACCCTATCACTCTGAGAATTAAAATTTCAACACATTGCTTCTCAAGGGAAATTCTCAAATCATAGCAGTTAGGTCTATTGGCTATTATTTATTTCAGGGTTTTGGCACTGATATTTGAATGTTATATTTAGGCATCAATGTTGCATTTTCTTCAAAAAATTAGGAAATTCATCTCTAGTTTTCATGTACCAAAATGCATGGTGTCCAAAAATTTATATCTCCTAGGAAACCCTTTGGGCTGATACTTTTGTTGTGGAAAAATTCCTTTAAATTCTTCTCTTTTCTATAAAAAAAATGGGCTATTAAAGCTTTCTATTGGTAATTGAATCATTTTGGCAAATAATACTTTCTAAGTAATTAGCTATTTTATTTACATATTTTTATTTATTTATATAAAGTTTGCAAAATAATCTCATAAAGTTTTAAATTTTTCCATTTTTAGTAGTTGTCTTCCACCATAGGTTTGGAACAGTTTGATGTGGCGAGGGGGGACGAGCTATTTCTCGTCTTCCTGGCAGACATGCAGATCACATTGTCTGCAGGGAAGGGCCTAGGCTCTGGAGTGTTAAGTCCGTTGTGTCAGAACACTCTGCTGCTCAGCAAAGCTCAGCTCTTTCCTTTGTTCCAGTGATGAGCAGGAGCAGGCCTTGATGCTTTTGCATCATGGTCACTGTCCTGTCATCTCTGGAGTGGGACCAGAGCCTGGAGATCTGTCTGTGCCTTCCCCAGGTCCTGCCCTGGCTGACACTGCAGCTCAGTTTCAAGAAAATTTCAGGTCACATCATCCAAAAACTCAGAGTGGAAGGTGACTTTTCCTGCCTCTGGTTTGGACTCATTAACTGTCAGTCCTAACAGCAGCGGCTCTGATGTGCTGAAGCTCTCTGGCCATCTGCCAGATGTGTGGATGCTGTGCGTGTTATGGTAGGGGCAGTTCTCATCCCACAGTTGCTCTCATCTGAGGACGGGACTGGCTGCCCTGTTGACAGCAGGACACAGACAGGGACTTTAAACATGCCTTTCTTGTCTGCTGCCTGGAGTTTCTCACTGGGCTTAGGAAGCCAGCAGCTTTCTAAGAGCCATTAGCTACCTGTTTGTCTTTTTTTTTTTTTTTTATCACAGTAGCCTCATGGACTCCAACAAATGTGGCTTTTCCAGATGTATCCTCCTGTGTTAAATGGTCCAGATGTGGGCCCAAGGTCCTGCTAAACAGGAAGGCTCCGGAAACAAAGCAGACAACCCGCTGAATTTCAAAACAGAAAACCGAGTTACTGATCTTGTAAAGGCATCTGCCTGCAGGGGAATATTGGAGAGCTCTGTGGACTCCAAATGGAAATTTCCACGGCACAAACTCATTCCCTTTGGCAACATGGAGTCCTGTTTTGATCTAGGACGCCACCATTGCTCAGATTCTCACCCTGGTGAAAGGCTGCAGAACGTTTTCCTGGTGGCTGTCTCCTAGGTCAGCAACATCTTGGGAATGTATCAGGCCCAACTACAGAATGAAGTTCACTTGGGGTCCAGCTTTAATCTGACATTCTTAAGGCCATCCTCGTCAGGGTTATTTCATTGTGTCTCAGCTGTCAGCCTTAAACATTTCTATAAAATAATAACAGTCCCTACACCCACTATACAATGAATCTTTTAAAGAAGCAAGCTGGAACATAGTTTGTTTTATAAGCTACAGACAAGAAAGTCAATATCCACAGGGTCTCCCATGGTCCTACATCAACATTGGAGAGCAAGCCATGGTGTCCCTGGGCTTCCTGCAGACAGACAGACACTCAGACCTTCCTGGATGCTGTGTTTTGTGAGCAGCTTGTGCACCCAGCTGCACAGATCTGCCTGTGTTTGTTTGTCCCTCAGTGGCCCACAAAATTTACTTTCCCTTTAGCCTATTTGAATGATTGTGTTCCCGTTGTTGCCCTTGGATGTGCCAGGAAATTTAGAGTCCCTAAGGGGCCTCCACATCAGAAATCTCATTTTCCATGTGTAGATCCTGTATTTCCGTGCTCCTGGCTTTGCTAATTGTCTCACTGAGTCATTGTTGGGATGTAGCTGTGGTCCTTGTATAAAGAGAGGAAGGTCTGAGTTGGGAAAAAATAGCTCAGGGTAAAGTGCTTGCCCAAAAGCAGGAGGACCAGAGTGCAAATCTCTAAACTAATGTAAACCTGGGCATATTAGTGCATAATCCCAGTGTCCTGTGGGGAGATGGGAGGCAGGGACAGGACGTCTGGGAGCTCCTGGGCCAGCCAGCCTGGAGCATGCAGCATAAGCAAGAGACTCTGCCTCCAAACGGTGGAAGATGAGGACCAGTTCCTAAGGTTGTCTGTAACCTGTCATGCGGAGTACACCCTGACACTCACATGCCTGCACTTACTATGCATGTGCACACATACAGACACATACACACAGACCACACCTCCATATACACACACCTCCACAACAGACACACCACACCTCTACACACACATCACATACCACCTACACACACACACACACACACACACACACACACACACACGCACACACGCACGAACGAATGGATTTTTTTTTTTAAAAGAGAGAGGAAGGTCATAACGGTGTTTGTTTTCCTTCATCTCCACTCCCCAGTGGAGGATGGGTGCTGAATGAGCTTTTAAGCACAAGCTCTTTGAAGATGTTTGTAAACTGGCTGGTATGAAAACAGGAACTGATATTCTAAGGGATCGAGGTCATTCATTCTTAGCTTGCTGTGGCCAAAACGTGGGGGTCTCCTGGCCTAAGGTAGATTCAAGGAAATGAGAACTCCAGGTCTACTGGAGAGAACTCTGTCTCGAACCCCCCCTCCCACCCCCACTCCCCCCCAGCAGCCCAGCCTCTGTGTGTGTTGTCTCCTAGAGAGTGTACTGGACCCAGACTGCCCGCCCCTGCACCTACCTTCCTTCCTTCCTTAGATCCTGGGACTCTCACTGCAGCTTCACAGAGGCACAGTGTTTTAGTCCCTCCATTGACGTCAAGCTTTATAGGTGATGGGCGGACCAAGAGGGAAAGGCCAGATCCCCAGCTGTGCAAACTGAGTGTCACCTTGAACAGGCTAAGAGGACAATTGCTGGGAGTGTCAGATGCCAGTGGCACAAGGTCCAGAAGGAGTCCCACACCAGCAGGAAAGAAGGCAGCTCACAAGCTCAGTACATGGCCTGGCTCTCCACATTGGAACTGAACACAGCCGAGCTGCATGCGGGGGTGTGGTATGCAGCTGAGTCTACCCGGCCAGTGAGTCCTGCTGATGCCGTGTTTTCTAAATTTCTATATTGTAAGTTGTCCTGGAGAAAGTTGATGGAAGCTTGCTCTAAGACAGTGGCCAGGGGGTGGAGCAAAATAGTGGGGGAGTCAAGGTATGTCGACAAAGACATAGGACCCCCAGCGCTTGACAACCCAGAGTTGAGGAGAGGAGATGACAAGGATAGCATCCACACTGGCTAGCACCAGAGATGGCTTCCCTCTTCCCCATTTCCCTCTGCAGCCCAGGGTCCCTCGGTTCACTCTGCCTGTGTTGTTCCCACTAGAGGCTCCCTGCCCACTCATCAGTGTGTCATCCTCAGGTTGTGGGCCTATTTGCCTCTGTGGGATGGGACCTGCAGGCGTGTGTGACAAGGGACTGACCGGAGGATATGTTTCCCGAGACACCTGACATCCTTCTCTCTGAGAACTCCTCCCTTACTGCTACTTTGCCATGGCCTTCATCTGGCTGCCTCAGCATCTAGCAGGCGTCAGATCCTCTGTCACCTCTGCACAAGACCTTTGCTGCCACGTACCCGCTACCACCGCCACACACGTACTCTTTCTCATGGCTCCATGTTGTTGCTGCTTTGACTGCTGCTCCTCCTTCCTCTCCCTTCCCTTCCCTCCTCTCCCTCTCCCTCCTCCTCTTCTTCCTCCTCTTTCTTTTTGTTCTTATTGAAAATTATTATGACATGTTTATTTGTATATTTTTAAATTATTATGACATGTTTGTATAATTTTAAATTGCTTTACTTTCTGTATGTAAGTATTTTGCATATATGTATATATATATGTATATATATACATATACATATATATATATATGTACCTCTTGTGTGCCTGGTACACACAGAGGCCAGAAGAGACCATGCTACCCCCTGGATGGAACTGGGGTTCCAGATAGCTGTGAGCTGCTGTGTGGGTGGTGGGAACTGAACCTTAGTCCTTGTCTCTGCAAGAGTAGGAAGCACCCCTAACTGCTGGGCCATCCCTCCAGCGTCTGTTTGTTAATGTTTTGTCTCCCTGTGTCTCTGGACTCTCTAAAAGCATTACTCAGCTCTGCCCTATCTCTGAGGTTGGCACAGGGTTGTTGCATGCAAACAGTGGCTGCCGGAAGGATCGGATGTGGAGGAAGTCATAGGTTCAGGCAGGACAAGGCTGGCTTCTGTCTGACTCAGGAAAACCAGGCCCATCCCTGACCCTGTTCCCGTAGTTCTGGCTGATGAAGTGGCTCAGCTGATGTTCCCAACTCTCCAAGTTCACCCTTCTCCCTGCCTGGCAACTATTAGTGAGTGTACATATGTTGCTGTGTCTTTAAGCATGTAGTACTTGACATCTGTGCACGTTAAGGTTTCTAAAACCTTTTCTCTTACTATATTAGACTTAGGTGTTGACATGAGAACAGAGGCACAATTCCCGAGTTTCTGAGTCACTTATTCTCTACAGAAGTGATAATCTGGCATCAGATAATGTGTGTAGAATGTGTGTTGATTTGGGCTCAGGCTGGGAAGCTCATTCCTGAAGTAACATTCTTCCTGTCTGGGCATGAGGCCCTGAGGTCAGATCCCAGCACCCGTGTAAAAGTACAGGTGACTGACACCTGCGGTCCCAGTTCTGGAGCATGCTGGCTAATTTCCTGTCAGCTTGACACAACTTAAAGTCATTTGGGAAGAAAGAACATCAATTGAGAAAAATGCCCCCAACTAGACTGGCTCATGGGCAAGCCTGTGGTGCATTTTTTGATGGATAATTGATGTGGGAGGCCCAACTCACTGTGGGTGGGGCCACCCCAAGGCTGGTGGTCCTGGGTGCTGTAAGACAGCAGGCTGAGGAAGCCAGTAAGCAGCGCTCCTCCATGGCCTCTGCATCAGTTACTGACTCCAGGTTCCTGCCCTGACTTCCCTGCATGATGTAAGCTATAAAATAAAATAAACCCTTCCCTCCCCACGTTGCTGTTTATCATAGCCTTAGAAACCCTAAGACACAAAGACAGAATGTTCCTTAGGGCTCTCTAACCAGCAATTCTAGACAATCTCCAGATTGGATGAGAGAACCTATCTCTCTCAAAAAGTAAGTGGCCCACTATTGAGGAAGATACCCAACATTGAAGTTTGGCCTCCACACACACATGCAACACATGTGCACCCCGTCGTTCACACAAAAACACGTACAGTGCACACTGCTGATTAGAGCAGTTTAAAACACCTCCCTCTCTCTCTGGCTCTGTTTTTCATTTCATACGAGAAAAATACTGCTAATTGCATAACAGGCTTGGCTTGGACCCTTGCCGGAAGCGACAAACTTGTCTTTCTCGATTTTCTATGATGGGGTCATGTAACTCCTCATTTAAACGACTCCTTAGCCTTGGCTGTCCTGCCTCTGTTGATAGAGAGGCCATGTTCCATCAGCACTTTCATTATCTGAATCTCCCCATGGAAATGATGATGTAACTCCCAGACCCTCAGCCAGAGGGCAAGGGGTGATGGGAGACACCTGGATACCATTGGTCCAGCTCAGGTCTGCAGCAGCACCACTGGGGCAAGAACACTTCTGAGCAATAGCTGCCCGTTTGCAGAGATTCCTCCCAAGTAGATTTTTTTATGAGTCGGCATATGTGAGGGTTTTTGTGTGTCTGTCTGTCTGTTTTAAAGCCAGCATGTAGACAGCTAGCTACCATGTCATAGCTGCCCATAAGCCCCCTCCTGCCCTCAATGGGAAGGGTGTTAGGGCGAAAGCACAGCAACTGGGGCCCAGATATGAAGACAACAGGCCGATGGCTCCATCTGTTAGCTTCCTGAGCCCTGAGAAAAGTCAGCATCCAGGTGTGAGATTATCTCTTCTCTGTGAGTCACTCCTGGGAGGAAGTACCACATGGTGAAGAAGCAGCATCCTACCCCTGAACTCACCTGGGGGGCAAGTCTGAAGGCCTCCAGCACCACTCACATGCAGCTCCAGCAGAGGGTTCAGCACCTGCAGGTCACTGGAGCCAACCACAGCTTAAAAGCACCATGTAAATGACAGTAGAGAGGGCGGGCTCCGCTAGTAAAGAGCTCATTCTGTGAGCACGGGAGAGCCTGAGGTCAGATCCCCAGCACTCACCTGAACCTTTAGGTGTGGTGGTGCTTACCTGTGATCCCAGCCCCAAGGAGCCAGAGACGGGAGTATCCTGGGAACTTGCTGGGTAGATATTCTAGACCCTGGCTCAAAGATAATCCACATCGTGATAGAGGAAGGCATGTGACATCAACCTATGGGCTTCACACCTGTGCACACACGCACTTACACACCCTCCTGTGCACGCACGCACACACACACATGAGCTCCATCTAAGAGCTTTCTCTTGCTCACCTGCTTATTCAGTTGTTTGATCAGCCATTCGTTTACTTACATGCAGAGACCAATAGGCCCAGGGGAACAGCACAGCCTTGGCCCCTTTGGAGACTGCTGCAGGTAGGGAAAGCAGGCATCCCCTGAATCTCTGGCCAGGGAATAAAAGCTGCATGTCTGGTATTTAAGGAAGAACAGAAACAGCCCAGGTTGTGACTCTTGCAACCCACACATTGAAAAGCTAGAGAAGAGCAGCAGCAACACAGTGTGGCTCTGGAGAGTTCCACTGGGTACTTGCAATGTCAGCTTACCCTTTGCTTTAGAAACTGAGACATACCTTTTGGTGGCTGGTTTAAAGAGGGGTGCATTGCTCTCTTGCTGCAGTACAACGCAGGGTACCTTTATTCTGATGGAGAATGCTCTAACACTGGGGCTGGAAGGCCCTTTACATAGCTCAGCCAGACATCACCAGTGCTTGCTCCCAGCAGATTCAATTAGCATTTATTGACTTTACCTCTGTCATTGTGTCTGTTTTTAACAAAAGAATCAAAGCACCACACTGATTTCACACACACACACACACACACACACACACACAATGTTTAAGCAAATTCAGCTACGTGAAGCAGAACATTGAATAACTCAATTTATATTTCTTAGACAAACATACAGCTATTAAAACAGTTTCTAGCAGAAGCACGAATGGGCTACTCTGCTCTTTTAAAAAGGTATCTTGGTGCACAGCCCACTGAATGTAACCCCGGTGGGCTCCGCCTCTGAGATGTCACTTTTTCTTTCTTTCTTTTCTTTTCTTTTTTTCTTCTTTCACAGCAGTTCTAAGGCCATCAGTGGGATGTGGCTCAGTTAGAACATCCGCATGGCATCTCTGGCAGCACGTAAAGTGGGTATCTCCCGGTCAGGAGGTAGAGGCAAGAGGATCAGAACTTTGAAGTCATCCTGTTCTACACAGCTAGTTCAAAGCCAGTCTGGGGTAAAGGTGGCATTGACCTGGGAGAAAGGAAGGAAAAAGGGAAGGGAGAAAGGAGGGATGAACGGATGGATGGACGGAAGGAGTGAATGAGTGAGTTAGCTCTCAAGGGACAGTCTTCGGGGACACTAATAGGAGAGGATAGCTCTCCCTGTGTGAGGCCTGTGCCTCAGAAGCTGTAAGTTTGTGCTGTCAGTGCCTCTCTCGGTGTGGCCTGTTGATGTCAGCACCGGGGGTGGGGGGGAGGGTGGGAAGGACAGCTCTTCCTCAGTGCCGACTCTCCAAACATCTCTGCAGAAGGCTAACTTTAGTTTCATAAAGTTGTTTCCAGAACTTTGTTTCAAAACTTACGTTTAAAAGAAGGATGACTCTCCCCAGCTGTTGTCAGTAAATATGAAACCCGAAGTGTCACTATACTATTAGGGCATAAAATTTAAAGGTGACTTTTATCTCTAAAAGGTTATAATTGGGGAAAATTTGAAAAATAGGAAACAATATAAAGAAAACCTGGAAGCATCCCCATTTTTCTTTGACTTAAAGCTATTTTAAATTCTATTGTAATGTTATTTAATATATAAATTATACTGCTACACATAAAGTATGGATTCTTTTTAAAGAAAAATACAGTTTCTACTCTTATATTACTGCTTTTACTTATTTTTTAAATGCGTTAGGTTGTTTTGTTTTAGTTACCTAACTATATTGTATTACTTTTTTTTTTTTTTTGAAATGGCCTCATATAGCCCAGGCTGGCCTCAAACTTTGTATGTAGCCAAGGATGACCCTGATTGCTAGTTCTCCTGTAATTCTGGGTTTGCAGGTGTGCACCACTACACTTAGTTCATGTGGTGCTGAGGCTTGAACCTGGGGCTTAATACGTGGGAGTCAAGCACTCCACCAACTGACCTGTGTCACCAGTCCACGCTGGATGATCAGACTTCAAGGTTATCCTCCCTACAGAGGGATTTTGAGGCTAACATAGGAAAAATATCTGTCAAAGTATAGATGGCCTAGCTTTTACTGCTTGGATTTCTGCCTTGTCTCCTTGAGTGCTGGAACCATCAGTAAGATGAGGCAGGGCTAAGGATCCACCACCCTGTTTCCTATTTCACACCCCTTTGCATCACTTCAGTTGGAATTATAAGCAAATGCCTTTTGTGAGGATGATAGCTCTGGGGTGGAAGATCTCTCTCTATCAACAAGAGAAGCATCTTGGGGAAGGACCTGTAGGACAGTTTGTTGGACAGAGTTCCACCTCCCCCCACTGCCGTCCCCCACTAACTTAATGCTGCCAGGGAAAATGAGCTAAGCCAAATCCCTAGCAGGAAGGGGCCAGAGTAGGGCCTGGGGAAACTTGCCTAAATCTTATCACTTACTTCTCATTCTTCCTGGGAATTTGCAACTATTTGCCCAATTGTCTCTTCCCTAGGGAGAAGAGACTTCAATCACCAAAGAGGTAGGATGGACATCTCCCCCTGGGTTGTGCAGCTTCTAGAAGCCATCTGTTGAACAGAGTGAACTGAGACCTCATCAAACTGTCTCAAAGACTTACACTGTCAGTAAATTCTAACGCTACAGCGAATGAATTAGCACCAAGCCATGCTGACTTCAGCTGGTGTCAAATGAGCTGCATTGGGACACTCCTAAATATGTATGCAGGGGAGTTTGGGTGGGTCACAAAATTAGACCTGCTCTGTTAAACCCAGGGCAGGCATTCCTGCTTATAAAGGAGGAAAAGAAATTAGGTTCCGGTAGGAAGATTAAGCTCGTAAGGGAGAGACCTCTGACTGCCTGCCGGCATGCTTGCCCCCCCCCCCCCCCCCCCGTGGCTCACTGCCTGTTCCTCTCTGTGCTCTGCTGGGTGGAGTAAGCAGGCTGAGAGCACTCTAGGCTTCTGTGTGCTGTCTCCCACACAGAGGACTGGAAGAGTTTTTGTTGAGTTATCACAACTGTCAAACGTGTGTCCCATCCCTTCCCTCAAAACAATGGCTCTTCCTCAAAGGTCCTAAGTTGTAAGGTCATGTGGGGTATCTGTGGGTTAAAGTGACCCTGGAAAAGTCCCTAGAATAAGCTTCTTGCCAAGGCCAGCTGAGGCCCTTGTGCAGATGTAGAAAGGCCAAGGCCAGTTGCATGGAGATGAGATCCTCGAGTTAGCAGAGTTGAATTATGGACTGAATGAAATAGGAGAGCGAGCCTGCTACCTCTTCGTGCAGTTAATTCAACCGAAAGACAGGGGATAGTTTGTTATTTAAAAATAAAATCCTATCACACCCACACCTGTCATTTCTGTCCCCCACAAGACCAGAGTCATATTCCCAGTGCCCACTTGGGCAGCCCTGAGATCTTCCGTGGCTTCTAAAGACAAGGCATTTGGGCCGTGTGCATCTCTATTTTCTTAAAGACCTAAAAATGGTTGGCAGATGCAAACGATGTGTTTCCCCCCCCCCCCCGCCCACATATTCCTTTCTTTCTGACTCAAGCAGCTTAACCAGAGAGAAAACGTTTATTTTTAAAATATATTAAAAGATAGTTGAGCTATGCAGGAAAATGTTTGTAATGTGAAACCAACACCTTTGACGTTGTTATCCAATGTCAGAAACAAAAGATGAGCAGCACAGGTGACGTCCCTCTAGCTGTCTGGAATTTGACATTGGCCCATGCTTATGTTTGGTTTTTCATGTTCCAAGCTTCACACGAAGTTCCCTATGATCACGCATTTATGCAATTTCTTTTTTAACTTTTTAAATTATAATTTACTATTCTACCTTAGTATATTTGTTATTTTTTACTCTGCATATTTAAATGATTGCTTTTATGTTTTTCTTTTTATTAAAAATAGATTTTTTTCCTCACATAATCATAATGTATCTTGATTACAGTTTTCCCTTTCTCTACCCCTCCCAGTTCCTCCCCACCTCCCCTCCCATCCGGATCCACTCCCCTTCTGTCTCTCTTTAGAAAACAGGCATATCACCCTTGACTCTTACTTTAACTTTATTAGATATTGCTGAAGTGTCTATGGAGAATCACACCAACTTAAATACCCACCATCAATGGACAAAACTCTATAATGGTTCTTTTTATTCCCTCTTTGGCATCATCTTGATAGCATCAGAGGAGAATTTTTAATAAAGTTGTGCTCTTTGGTCTTTGTTTGCATCTCCAGCTACTAACGAGGCGGAGCCTCTCATTGGCTAGTTTTCTTTCAGCTCTTTGAATGACTGTCTGCTTCTGACCACTCTTGTACCAGGAGGTTGGAGGCTGGAAGCCGTTGCCATTGCTATCATTACCTCTGAGGTGTTCCTAACGTGTTCTGAGTGCTAACTCTTGGGAAGAGACACCGGAGACACCTCCCCTCGCTCTGTATTCTTTGCTTATGGTTAAACTTCGCTGCAAAGCCGTTGGTCATTTTCATACAGCTGGTTACATTTCTCCAGCAGTCTGGTTGTGGGGAGCTTGACTCAAGAAATAAGTTTCCCCAGCTCCAGCCCGGAAGGCTGCCCCTCAACATTTTCATAGGAGAACCCCAAGTTCTTAAATGTTTTGGGATTAATTTATTCTGTTTTGTAGGAGCTAAATTCCATTCTCTTTCATTTGCAAAAGTGTGGTCCTAATGTCATCTATTGAGCAGGTCATCACTGGCCCTCTGAGGACAGTCCATTGGCAACCAAGTAGTGAGGCCCCTGCCTTTCCCATTGGTCTACTTGACACCCCAGGGTGAAAGATGCGCTGTCTTCATCATTATAGTTCCACAGAGATCATAAAGCAGAGTCTTCCACTTCATTCCTTAGACTTATTTTGTCCATTTGTAGTATCCCTTTAATCTTTACCCTTCCCTCAACTTTGCTCTGACTGAGAATTAACAATAAAATGCCACAACTTCAGCAAAAGAAGGAAATTAAGCAAAAGCTAGGCAATTATACACTTGCCATACTTTTTAAAAATACTACTTTTCAACACATGCTTGCACACACAGGGTTTATGAACTAGTGTTCAAATCGTACATTTGTGTCCTGGATCCCCTCGAACGTCCATCTTAAATGTCAGAGTGTCCCTAGAGAACCCCCTGAGGGCACTGAGGCCAGCACAGCCTGGCTCTAAGAACGAAGCATTCTGTCTCTACTTCAAAGGAGACTTTGTTTGCCGGTGACATTTCTGTAACCTCATGATGATTCATTGGTGTTCCGCAGTGTGTCCAGATTGAGACGTTCTTGTATGGATCACAGGACAAGAAGACCATGGCCACCCAGCACACCATAGACACACTGTCCAAGTGAGTCAGCTTCCCTTACGTTTTCTCTGAATGTCATATCCCTCCACCATTCTGAACCTGAGGCTGGTATTAGAAGATTCTTTCAGAGTTTCACTGTCCTCTAATAACTTATGTAGTGAAATGTAGAATAGGTCCTCTGAGAAGCCAGCCATAAACAGTCCTTGCCCTAATATTCAAAAAGTATTTATTCTTTAATATGTTGGCTTTCGTCATCCCATAGACCAGCCCTTGCAGGTTAACACACTTGCTGGAGAATGAAGGCCTTGCCTCTAGAGCCTTGGGCTTCTCCTCTCGTGGGTGGATGTCAGAGCGTCACAACTGTACCTTGAAGACTGGCCCTAATGTCTTTCCTTAGCAGAAAGCCCGGCACTACCAGGGGAGGGCCCCCATTTCACAGAGTGGGTATTCCCTGAGAACCTATGGGCTTAGGGTCAAGTCCAGGTCAGGAAATTACAGCAGTGGCTTTCACCGGAGGCACAGACCCACCAGAAAGGGTACTAAGCCCTTTTAGGGCTGAGTAGTTCTCTCCTCAGAACTTGACAGTCTTCTCCACTCTCACCCCATTGATGACCTACCTAAGACCTGATTTGCCTCAGCTTGATGAGCATGGCTACAAGGCATGAGAGAGGAGAAACACGCCTTGTGTTTGATGTTCTTGTGCCATGGTTCTTCTCTCGTCTGCATCCCCTCCTGAGGCTTCTTCCCAGTGGGCAAAGGCTGGTGGGAGCTGGGATGATCTGAGGGCCCTCACTCACCCATCTCCTTTCTACATACAGGATTTCCGAGGCTCCCGTGAAGTCAAAGCAATCACTGAAAGCCAAAGTAGCATTCTGTACCAGTGCCCCCCAGCACACGATGCCAGGCAAGGCCAGGCACAATGTAGCAGACTGATGCCCCCATGTGCCGCCCCAAAGAAAGCTCCAAGAAGACTTGGCACTGCTTTTAGGAGGCTGAACAAACCTCTTTCCAGCTTGAAGGTGGGGTTTAGCAGTCACTGCAGATTTTTAAGGCTGCCTGCTTCAGAATGCAACGGCAGTTCCATGAATCTTCCACATCCCAATTGTGATCACCCTTCAGGGTGATGCGGTGTTTTGGTTATTTTCTTTCACCAAGGAGAATTTCCGCTGTCATCCCCGCTGTGGCCGAAACACTCTTCCGAAGCTGGAGCTTCTTTAACAGGAAAGGAGACTCACCTGATGACAGGCAGGGCTCCTGCCCGATCCAGAGCCACATCTGGGGCAGTGAGACCCTGCAACAAGCCTCCCTTATAGGAAAGTAATAGTAACTGAGAAGAAAATACCAATAAAGAGAAACCTGTGCTAATATCAGCCTGTGTGTTTAAAATAAAGACTGGAGCTGGCCATGCAGCTCCGTGACAGAGCGCTTGCCTGGGCTCCATGAAGCCTGTTATGGTTTAAATGCGAAACGGCCTTCAGAGGCTCATGCATTTGAACACTTGGTCCCCATTGCTGAGAGGCCTTGAAGTAGGAGTCTAGTTGAATGAACTGGGTCACTGGAGATGGGCCTTGAGGTCTCTTAGCCTTAGTTCCATTCTCTATCCATTCTCTGCTTCCTGATGGCAGACTCAGTGTGACTAGCTGCCTGATGCCTCTGCTACCTGCCTTCCCATCATTATCTGTGTATCTGTGTATGTATATATAAATAGCACGCACATACACCCCTACCTGCCTTCCACCTAGAAGCCAAGATAAATCCTTGGCTTCTTATTGGTTGTTTGAGCAACCAGCATTATTTTTCTCACTGTAGGGTTCAAGAGAATATCGTGGAAAACAGGCACTGAGATAGGCCCACTGCCATGGTCAGACTGACTGCAGGTCTTGTGTGTTTGGTCTTGATCTACAGACATGATATGGAAGAGTGTGGAATTATGGGCAGTGGGGGTGGGGGGTTCCTCGGAACCTGAAGGCAGATCTCAGTAGACTATCCTGCAGGGGTTCTAAAAGACCAGAATGCTAAGACAAATCCTGACAACAGAGGAGGATAAGGACTCTGTTAGACCTGGGCTACATTGTCCTACATTATATGTATGTGCCAAGACCTCAAACACACCTAGAGTAAGGGACTAATACGTTTGGTGGGTGAAACTCTAGGCAGAATAGCAGTCAGCTGTGGTGTAGTTGCTCCTCACTGTCCTTATCCAGAGAGCTGCAAGTGGAGCAGAGGGGTGGAGGATGCAGCCCTTGGTGGGGAAGGAATGAACTTAAAATTGGAGATAGGGTAGGTACAGAAGCAGCCTGCTTGTTACAGCAATTAGAAAGAAATCTAGCGTTCTGCACTGGGACAAAGGAGTGCTGTCCTGAGGGCAGAACCCCACCCACTAAAGGCTTCGGTTCTGGAAAATGCAAATGTACTTGAAAGTTGTCAAGTGAGCCTGGACTGAGAAGGCAGGGGTCCCTGCTTAGAAATGAAGACGTGGAAGTAGAGACCTGTGCCACTCTGGTCCGGCCCAAGTGGGCCAGATTGTATCTCAAAGGGGCAGCAGGACATGACATTATCCACAGGGCACTGATTGTGCAAACATGCAAAACTCAAGTTGGCACCAAGGTTCTGAAAAGCACTGAGGCCATTGTGTGAAGCTGCAACAGGGAAGGCTGAGCTGTGACGGAGACTGCAAGACGCTGGTGACACCAGGCCCACACGTGAGGCATCAGCTGAAGGCCTCTGCGGCAGACTCATGCTGTCCTATGAAAGACTGGGCTCCAGGCTGCAGAACTGTAGCAACAGGAATACCCAAGCTCTTCAGAGCCTAGATGGTTTCACTGTGAGCCTCAGGTACATAGAGCTAAAGGGTCTGGTATCTGGCCTGCTGGGTTTTGATCTTACTTTGGTTTGACTTTCCCTTGCTTTGGCCTGATTCCTCCCTTTTAGAATGGGAAAACTCACTCAGTGCTACTCACGTTGGAAGTATGACTTCCTCCTGGGACTGAATACATGTTGCATTATGAAATGGCCATGGGCCTATGGAGACAGGGCCAAAATGCTGTGGTTTGATTGTGAAATCTCCCCCTACACAGTTGTGTGTTTGAATATTTTGTCCCAGGGTAGGGTGGGCCTTGAGGTGATGCCCAGCTAGAGGAAGTGGGTCAATGGAGGGTGAGCCTTCAGGTTTCATCACCCCACTCCACATCCCGTCTATGCTTTGCTTCCTGACTGGATGCAGTGTGACCAACCACCTAAAGTTACTGCTGATCTGCCCTCACTGCCATGATGGGCTGTATCCCCTCAAACTGGAAGCCAGAACAAGTCCTTCTTTCTTGTTTCTTGTCAAGTATTTGATCACAACCATGAAAAAAGTAACTAACACGAGGATCTCTGACCTCCAGAGCGGCAAACAAATAAAATGAAGACCATTCCAAGGGTAACCTGGAGCCTGAAAGGGTGTGTTGGTGAAGGTGCATCTCTCTGTTAATGAACTCTGTTACATTTTTTTTTCTGAGCACCTAGTATATTGTTAGGCCTGTGTGAGAAAACTGAGGCTGAGGCAGCAAACACAACACACACAGTCTCGTCTTCTCAGGCTTATAAATCCAGTGCATCGCTGGATGATGGCGCTGAGGCCCTCGTGGATGGACTTGGGAAGAGGACACTGACTCGCCACTTCCTTGTCTCTCGTGGTCGCTATCCTAGGCAGAGCAGGCAGCTGCTACAAGAACGTGCATACCCTCTAGTGCCACAACCAGAGTGGCCTTCATTCTTCTCAGGGGCCACCACAGTTGGGTGAGGGTGGCAAAGCTAAGCAGTAAGCTTGAGTTCTTTCTCCTAGCTATAGAGAGTTCAGTGCTGGAGACAAGGTACATACAGCACCCATGGGGTAGGGGTTGCTGGTCCAGGCAGGTCTGTCCCTTCTTCCCCTCTTTCTCTTATCCCATGACTCATGCCAATGAGCCCACAGGCCATTGCTAAGAGGGTAATAAAACTGAAGTATAACCCTTTTGTGTCACATCCATTTGTTCAGAGTGACACAAGAAGAAGAAAGAAAATAAGCATGATAGAGTGGTGGCAGGGCCCTCTCTCTGTTTCCTTGGGAGTATGGCAGCTCAGCAGGCAAACCATCTTTGTTTATGCCTCTTCTCCCAGACTCAGGGCTGTGGGGTGGCAGCAAGGCACACAATTACTTGTGGCCATTGAAGAGTATGCTGTCTAACTGAAGATATGTGTTTCAACATCGCTAGTGGGAAACGATTCTTAAAAACAGAGGCTGCCAGAGGCTTCCTGTAACCTTACATCTGGAGTCTTACCCCTCAGTGACATGTAGCGATAGACTGAAGGGTGATTAGATCACAAGGCGGCAGCAGCAGGATAAGGAGCACTGGCTGGTAGGATCGATGTCCTTATAAAGAAGAGACCCAAGAGAAAACATCTCTCTTTTCTCTATGAAGACAGCAGTAAGATGGCTGTCTACAGGCCTGCCACAAGCAAATCTGTGAGCATACTTGGCTTGTATTCTCCGACCTCCAGACCTCAGAAATAAACCCGCGTTGCTGAAGCCACCCAGCAGCACAGTCAAAGACACTCGAGGTTCTGGGAATATAGTTTAGAGTCACAGAAAATAAACTCCTCTTTAAATGTTAGCTCCTGCCCCAGGAGGGGCAAGCTGACCAGCATAAAGAATGGGTGTGCTGGTTGGTTTGGGCTTTGTTCTGTTTTTTTTTTTTTTTTGTCAGCTCAGCATAGGGAAGGGTCATCTGGAGGAAGAACTCTGAGTTGAGAAAATGCCTCCATCAGTTGATCTGCATGCATGTCTCTGGAGGGATCTCCTTGATTAATAATTAACATGGGTGGTGCCATCCCCAGGTAGCTATAAGGAATATTCTGGAAGGTATAAGCAAGGTGGCCGAACGCGAGTCAGAGAGCAAACTGGTTAGCAGCACTCTTCCACAGGTCTCTGCTTCAGCTCCTGTCTCCAGGTTCCTGCCCTGCTTGAGGTCCTGCTTTGACTTCCCTCGGTGATACACTATGACCTGTGCGTGTAAAGCCAAATAAACCTTTTCCTCCTGGGTCACTTTTGGTCATTGTTTTATCACAGCAACAGAAAAGTAATCAATGCAATGAGTCTTAGTAATATCTTCCACTGACTACCGTACCTCTCACAACTGAGAAGAAATACAACTATTCATGTTTTTATTTTTGTTAATTAAAGGACAGATTATAGACAGATGATAGTCACCCACCCCTTGTTTCAAGCATATCTGTATCTGTAAGATACTGAGAATTGGCCATCAGTAACCTTAGAAACTGTGCTTTCAGTAACCAGTTGCCCAGCTTCAGCCCAAGACAACGCTGGTTTCAGCACTAAATAACTGTACCATGATACCCTCCTCCATCCTGGGCAGAATGGATGGCTGTCTCATCCTGCTGGCAACATATTCCGGCCTGTGATGACATTTACCGCCAAATGGTATCCACTTGGATACAAGCTAGTTAGTGCATGCTTCCTAGTTTGTACCTATAGTGTGAAGTTCTGATCTCAGGAGAAACTGGAGAATGTTTGTGACCCATCCAGTAATTCATGGCTACCATCAAAACATGGAGAGAAACCCAGGCTGGTTTTCATTAATGTCAGAAGAAACCACACAGAAACTAGCCAGAAAACATTCTCTTTAAGAACAATACAGGTTTTTTCCCCCTCAGATCTTTATTTCTACACATTCTTGTGACAGTTCTCTTTGTAGGGAACAGGTTAGCAAAATAAGCTTCTTAGATAGTTCTAAATAAACACTTTAAAGCAAACTATCAAAACAACCAGTGGAAAGCTAAGAAACATTCAGTGTCTTGTAGTCTCAACAATAACAAACTGGGAGAGACTGGGTCCCTCCCTGCCCTACCACAGTGTTGATTTGACTCCAGAGTGACTGATTTCAAATACCTCAGGGAGCTTTGGTGGGGGGTGGGGGACAGGGAGGGGGGTGACCTGCTACAATGTCAAGGGTAAAAGCCCTACCCTTAGTGAGGTGGAGACACAGTAACCCATGACAGCTGAGGACTTCTCCTTCCTGGTAAGCTCTTCAAACAGAACATTGACTTGATGGGGATTCCAACTTAGAAATTTCATTCTAAGATATTTACTTTTCAAAGTAGAAGTGGCACGATATTTAGAACCTGCTCACACCAGTGTCTGTGGACAAGTTCATGAACTAGGACAATGGCATCCAGCTAAGCCCACTTAGACTCATAATAAACTTGACATTGTCACCGTGTCTTGCATTATTACACCAAGGCTGTACCACCTCAGCCACGTTCTAATAAGTCACTGTGTTTTCTGATTACTGTAAAAATAAGTGAGCACATCTCTGACAGTATTAGAGAT